CCATACTGGGGATTGAGCCTGCAACCCCGGGCATGTGCCCTGACTGGGAATCGAACCTCGATCTCCTGAATCATAGGTCAATGCTCAACCGTTGAGCCATGCCCAGCTGGGCTGCATGTGTTTTATATATTGGGGTTCCATGTTCAAATTTCACTACTTTTAAAAAAGTAAAAGGTACTGGTGGTCAAGATCCTTTGGGTTGCAGTTCTAACTCCGCCACCATTCACAGTTTAGCAACTCTGGGCCTTAGTTTCCTCATCTATAAAATGGGAACAGAGCCACCCATTTCATATTAGGAGAGCAAAAGCCAATAGCTAAAAACATACTTTAAAGAATTAAAAGTACAAAGCCAAAAAAGCACGTGATGATCCATTTCCTCCTCCATAAAGTGCGGACAGTGATGCTGCAACTATGACCAATAATAATATTACAAATAAAGTATCACTGATCAAAAAATAGATCACCAACTCTGCTATATGTCCCCGTCCAGGATACTCCTTGCTCTATGCCCTGAGGTCTCCAGGCATCCTCCCTTCAGCCCTGTGAGGCCAACTTCATCTCTCGCATACAGATGGGGCTTTACAAGAACAACAGCAGCTGCCTCCTCTTCGTTCTGGAATTTCTTCAAGACCTCACTGTGACAGCACATGAAAATCAATGCAAGTGCACATGGGTTGTGACCTCACAGGGTTTCAGCAGGAGTAGTACTGAGGTGGAGTTAAGCCTGTGGCTTGTGTGTGTTCCTGGGCCAGCCTCTCCTTACCAGGGTAGAGAAAATGTTTGCAGTATGGTCCTGCTGGGAACAGTGGGTATGAGCCCTCAGTGTGGCTTCAGTGTCCCTGGCGAAAGCAGGCATGACTGATGACACTGTGAAGCTCAACCAGTTAGAGCAGAACATGGGTTGGGGGAGTACTGGGGGACAGGGTGCTCCCATGCCCCCCCCCTAGCTTGGGCCAGATGCCAGGGCCCTGGAAGGCAGCCAGTATTCGCCAGAAATGGCTTGCTCTCACAAGACAATGAGTCCACTGTTAACTGGCAGGGACTTGATTAATATTTGCAAGAGGAACCAAGTGGAAAATTCCACCTGTGTGGGCGGAGGCAGGGCCTGGGACATGTCAACAACCCTAACGGCCTTGTTCTCTCAGGATGGCTCCAGCAGAGATACAAAGGTCTGATAACAGTGACAGAACCTGAGGGTGTCATTGCACTTGGGTCCCAAGGAATTTCCTTATTTGGATCATAGAGTTATTAACTTATTTTTTTATTGTCCTGCCTCCCCTGTCCTTAAATTTACACACAGCACTTTTAAATCTTTCAGCTTTCCTCCTATCACTTAGAGTCACCCAACACCCTTGCCAGTCCAGCAGGGCTGGTGTCACCCCATGTTCTGGATGAGAATAACTGAGGCTCTGAGACACCAAGAGCCTCACCAAAGGCTGCAACTGGTGAGTGAATGGCTCAGCCAGAGGATGTGGAACCCTGGAATCTCGACCCCCAGATGGGACACAGAGCCTGTCCCAGAGGGGCTGGGGTCAGGGGCCATGGGTACTGGACAGATGGTCTTCCAGCTCTAGTAGAGGCCTTGACCTTCACCCACCTAAGGAGGAAGAGGAACAAGCCCAAACCAGCTCTTCCAGTTGTGTAGGCTAAGGTGCTGGCCTTGGAGAAAGGTATGCATCCCCTCACCCATTCAAGCATTTAACACATGCCTACACAAGACCCACAAAAGCACACTGCACGGTGGCTCTTTCAGACACCCAGACCTAGCAGAATTCATGTCCAAAAGGGGAAGGTCAGGGTATCTCCAAAGGTAGCTTCCCTTGGACTTGAGTTGCCTCATTTAGCAATTGCTAACACACTCTCATCTGCCGATTTTACAGAACAGGAAATGAGGCTCTGAGAAGGGTAGTGACTTGTCAGAGGTCAGAGAGAGGGAGGCTGAGACCTCCTGACCCGCAGTGGCCCTGCCTCCAGTTTATATAAAGCCACAACATTCCTGGGCTTAGGCAGTCAAACAAATGGTATCCCTTTCAGCTGGCTTCCTTGGAGGCTGCATGATTAATAAACAAAGACCTCCCACAGGGGAACCCTTTTTGGAATAACCTTCTGGGCACTGGGGAACCTCCAGAGAAAACAGGCACGCACACCTTGTTTGCCCGCAGAGAACACCAGGTGTGGCTGCAGGGCTCACCTCTGGACCTCTCACTCTGTAGTCCTGTCTGCAGAGCTGGCCATGGGCATCATGCTGAGGGCCAGGGCCAGGGCCAGGGCCAGAGCAGTGTCCTACCTCTGTGCCTGCACACCCCAAGCCTGGGCCCAGGGCAGTGGACAGCGGGGTCGGGGGAGCAGACTCATTCAGTCTGTGTCCCACTTCAGTGCTCCTCCTTCCCCTCCTACCCACATGCTCAGCGACCTCTACACCACCCCCACCTCACCCTTCCTCTCTCCTTTGCCCACCAGTTTCTTCTCCTGAAGAACGTCAGCCTCTCCCTTTGTTAAAACAAAGCTACCCCACCATACTCCCATATCTGAACCTACTTACTCTCAGGCCTCAATCACCCCCTCTTGTCAAAGCCACATCTAATTGCCGGTGATCTAAGCCAGGGGGCTCCCCCAGGCCAGATGCAGCCACAGAAGGCAGGGCCACTCCGGTCAGGAGGTCTCAGCCTCCCCTCCGTGACCTCTGCTCCATCAGACTATACCGGCTGGTGCAGCCCCTCCTATCCCTCACTTCCACAAAGCTCTCCTCTCCCAGGGCCCTGTCCTCCTCCCCTCTCTGCCATCCCCTATAAATGTCTGCCTCACAAATCCTATCTCCAGACTTGACCTCTGCATCCCTGGTTGTCCCCACAGCCCTTGCACTCAACAGTCCCGAGTTCCCGCAGAAGGGCCTGCTTTGGTGCACAGCTGAAAACCCAGCACAGCTGGAGCCTGGCCTGCCACAGGGACTCAGCTGTGTGAAGTGTTTGGTTAGCAGCTACCTCTTTGCTGGACACCGAGGGGCTGGCCTCCCACTGCCCTGTACAGCCACCCAGGGAGCCTTTCTAAAACTGAAAACTGACCACCACCTAAACCTCTGCGGGAGCTCCTTGGCACCACAGGACAAAGTTCATGATCTCCAGCTGGCAGACGAAGCTGTTTCCATCTGCATTTCCGCAGCAGGGCAGGCTGTTGAACATACTCCCATCACACTCATCCTCAGTCCAAGAGGGCCCATCACCCATGTGTTGTTCACCTTTGCACCCCAGTACTGGCAACCTGCAGGTGTTTGCTAAGAAGACAGCTCTTAAAGCCAGGAATGATCTCAGGAACCACAGGGCTTAAAGTAACTCAGAGAGGTTGAGCAAAGGGCCCAGGGTTACCCAGCCCCAGGCAAGGGTGAGGCAATGAGCTCACCTGAACCCTTCTCCTTCGTCAGGAACCAGACCAATCCTCTGGAAATGTCACCTAGAAGCCCTGATGTGTGCATGCCAGAGCCCTCAATTGAACTTGAGGCTCGGCCCATTCCATGGTTCATTCCACATCTCGGTTCATTCCACATCTGAACCTGGCTGGAGGGCGAGGCCTGGCACACAGTAGGACTGCAGCAAAAACAGCTTCTTGACTAAGGCAACCTCTCACCAATTCCATCCATAAGACCCACATCCCTCTCTAGGTCTTAGTCTCCTCATCTGTAGAATGGAGTTATCTTGGCTTACAAGTTTACATGACCTAGATCGGCCACCCAATCTTATCCTTTGCAAACAGAGAGAGCTGAAGCAGCAGATTTCAAGCTCTGTGATCCACTGTTAGTTAGTCCAGCTGATTTTTGTTAACCTTCCCCTAAACCACAGTCTCTCAAAACAAAACAAAAGGACCCTACCACCTGTGTCAGAATTACCAAGGAGGGCTTGTTAAACGCTGATCTCAGACCCTGTCCCACCTGAGGGGTTTGGTAGGAATCTTGAGCATGGACCCAGAATTTGCATTTAAGGCAATGCTGAGAAATCCTGAGCACAGTGAAACTGGAGAACCAAAGTTCCAAATTAGACCAATCCTCTAGAAATGACACCTGGAACCCCACATGTATGCATGTCAGATCCCCATCTGACCTTGAGGCTGGACCCACTCCATGCAGGCCCAAAGCTGAACCTGGCAGGTGGGCCATACCTGGCACACAGTAGGACCGCAGCAAAAACAGCCTTGGGAGACCCACGTATTGGTGTCAGGCCTCATTTGGAGGAAATCTACATTTACAAGAAAACCTGGGAGAAGGGAGAATTTCTGTTACCCTAAGTAACATGTAACTTAGTTCCTGCAAATAACTAGCTCCGGGAACTCGGTAAGGCTTCCACTGCCCGTGTTCCACCCCTTTGGCTCCAGGGGGCTCGCCCTTGTGTAAAGTGGTGCCTCAGTCTCAGCGTCCAGCGGGGT